ACGCCATACACGCTGTCTGCCATCTGCCCTGTACAGTGAAAACTGGGATTCATCCGTGAAGAGAACACCTCTCCAAAGTGCCAGACGCCATTGAATGTGAGCATTTGCCCACTCAAGTCGGTTACGACGACGAACTGCAGTCAGGTCGAGACCCCGATGAGGACGATGAGCATGCAGATGAGCTTCCCTGAGATGGTTTCTGACAGTTTGTGCAGAAATTCTTTGGTTATGCAAACTGATTGTTGCAGCAGCTGTCCGGGTGGCTGGTCTCAGACGATCTTGGAGGTGAAGATGCTGGATGTGGAGGTCCTGGGCTGGTGTGGTTACACGTGGTCTGCGGTTGTGAGGCCGGTTGGATGTACTGCCAAATTCTCTGAAACGCCTTTGGAGATGGCTTATGGTAGAGAAATGAACATTCAATTCACGGGCAACAGCTCTGGTGGACATTCCTGCAGTCAGCATGCCAACTGCATGCTCCCTCAAAACTTGCGACATCTGTGGCATTGTGCTGTGTGCAAAACTGCACATTTTAGAGTGGCCTTTTATTGTGGCCAGCCTAAGGCACACCTGTGCAATAATCATACTGTCTAATCAGCATCTTGATATGCCACACCTGTGAGGTGGATGGATTATCTCGGCAAAGGAGATTTAGACAGATTTTTGAACAATATTTGAGAGAAATAGGCCTTTTGTGTACATAGAAAAAGTCTTAGATCTTTGAGTTCAGCTCATGATAAATGGGGGCAAAAACAAAAGTGTTGCGTTTATATAATTTTGTTCAGTGTATAATGCCGTTTCAAACTTTGGGGAGGTTCTGCAGCCCAGAGAGTTCTGCAAAATTAATGGCAAACCTAAAGAAAAGGAGAGAAGCTCTGTTGCACCATCTGAACCCTCTGAGCAGTCGTGGGGAAGAACAAATACTGCAAAAAGTTTTTTCACAACTGCTTTGAACAGGCCATGGTGTGGCATCTGTCTTTTTGTCCTATGGATGATGGGGCAAGAAAAATAGATAATCATTGAGTGCACAGCCCCGTGTAACCCAATCCACAGTGCAAAAAACAAAGAAACAAGTAAGTACATAAATAAATACATTGCCTAAATAAAATGATAAGCAAGTAAATAAATAAATACCTAAATAAGATGACAGTAACCTGGTTTGGCATCTAGTCTTTTGGCCCTAATATTGATGACAACCAGAAACAGAGGGAAATAGACATTCTCATATGGTCTGCAGTCCATGCTGGAAAAACTTAAATTCAAGGTGGCAGTGCAAATCTGAGAATCTACATAACTCTACCTATCATTATCCCTAGTGTATCATCATCCCTAGTTTTTTTTTTTTTGCGTGCAACTATTCATACTACTTCACCTATTCTCACTTAATTGTATTTCAGTATAACCAACAAAGTGTAAAGATGTTGGAAATAAGAGCTTCATTGTGCAGTGTAGTCAAATAAAGATGTAAGAGTTTGAAAGAGTGCTCGGAATTCTGTAACCAAGTAAGGCAATAGTAATGTTAGTGCGATAGGAGAACCCGTATCTAAATTGATTATTTATATAGATAATACTATTTATAGAAATCATTGATGTTAGTTTCTCATTGTCGTACAGGTACAATCTGCACCATCTGCTGGACAGTTTTGTTATACTAGGTGTACATATAATCAACAACAATCTATAATGTAAAAATATCTGTTTTTATTTGGATAGTGTTGTTTGTGTATAAAAGTTTAGGAATATTTAATACTTTGTGTTTTTGATTTTTGAGTTAGTTTTCCGTTACTGAGCTCCTCAAGGTACATACATACATACATACATACATACATAGTAACTAAATAATTAAATCACTAAGCAGCATGTGTGTGGACCTTTTTGAGTGTATTCTTGATGTGTAATGTAAAAAATTAAACAATTCATTTAGATGTTAGTGTTGGTTGAATTTTAGAGCGGGGACTTTTCATTATAAGCCGCATTTTTGAACCGGAAGTACTCAGTTGTAGCCAGCGTCTGTGTTTTCAAGAAACTTGTTTTGCTATTTTAATTCGTGGTGAGTGTGACCGTTGTACATTTATTAGCCACAGTATAGATTTGATTCATGAGATTTATAGCTCTACTTAGATAAGAAAGTATAAAATAATGTGATTTATCGCTTTCAGAATTGTGTAGAAAATCTGTCATTTACTGTTGTGATGGTAACAATCTGCTTTTATAAGACGGTTTAAGAAAAATAAGAGACCAAATATAAAAATACCAAGGACAGCAAAAGATAATAAACACAAAAACGAGCCTTTCTGATATCTTTTTTGTTTGTTAACTGTTTACCTGTTAGCCTCTGGACTCGAGTCAGTCTGTCATTATTATAATCTCACAGTTTTGTTTTATTTCTAAGATTTCTTCCTATTTGTCTCTGCTTCTCATATGCTGACTTACAATAATTCATCTTTTTTCCCTATGCAATACACTATCATCAGCCTGATGTTTTGTTGTGTTGTTTGCAGGAGTAATACAGCGCCTGTGAAACAATGGGTTTGTATTGGACTTTTATTTATTTGCAAATAGGAAATTGTAACGTCTCGACGAGCTTGCGTGCTTTATGCCTTTAGTGAACCTCGTAAAATCGTTATTCATCCTTATTCCTGATAAATGTACTCGTAGGCACGTGTCTGTTTAGCTTCCATTGCATACTGCCTTTTCCCTTAAGTGTCCTAATAACATTTCCCAGCAGATGTTGAAGAGCGGACTTATGGTGGTTGTGAAGGCCCAGATGCCATGAATGTAAAACTGATCTCTTCAGATGGCCATGAGTTTATTGTGAAGAGAGAGCATGCTTTAACCTCTGGCACCATCAAGGCTATGCTGAGTGGACCTGGTGAGTATGAAACATGGTCAAAGTCTAGCTGTTATGAAACGGCATTTATTTAATGTGGAATTCTTCCATCACTCATGTGTTTTCAAAAACATTTGAGGGTTACACTTTACTTGAAGGGGTGTGCATAAGACTGACATGACACCTACATAATCATGACATGACGCATGTCATGAATATGAAGGGTTTTTATGCATGTTTATGACAACTGTCATTAAGTGTCATTCGCTCAGTTATGTAATTTTTAATGCAAAGATGACATTGTTTGAGATGTCTTTGCTATGGTTAGGGGTAAGGGTAGGGTTAGATCAAATAATGTCATATTTGGATTAAAAATGGCATAACTGAGCGAATGACACTTAATGACAGTTGTCATAAACATGCATAAAACCTCCTTCATATTATGAAGGTGCCATGTCAGTCTTATGCACACCTCTTCAAGTAAAGTGTTACCCATTTGAGCAATATCTGAACAGTAGGAGGAAGCTCTAACTAACATTTGCATGTTTTCTTCTAGGTCAGTTTGCGGAAAATGAAACCAACGAGGTGAACTTCCGGGAGATCCCGTCTCATGTTCTCTCCAAAGTTTGCATGTATTTTACCTATAAAGTGCGCTACACCAACAGCTCGACAGAAATCCCAGAATTCCCCATTGCTCCTGAGATTGCCCTGGAATTGCTTATGGCTGCGAACTTTCTAGACTGTTAGATAAGAATGGAGCATGTGTTATACTGTGACGACTTACTTTCCATTTGTTTGCCATCATATATGTTCTTATGATTTATGAGTGTGTATTTATGAATGTCTTGTAATTTTTGGGCCATTGAGGGTTTTTTTTTTTTTTTTTTGTTTTTTTTAATTTCAAATGGCTAGATGATTTGTTGTGTGTGCAGTGTTTTAAATGTCTTACAATCATTTTGTATTTGAAAGTCTTTTGCAATTGTCCTAGTGCCATTCGCATTAGGAATAAAAATGGATGAACCAAATATATCATTGTCATACCTCTATGTCTTTGTTTTTGACTGGTTTAATAATTAATACAGCACGAAGAATAAACTAAATGGTTTACATTTCTTGCAAGACACAAGTGAACACAAAATGAAGGAAAGCTCTATGTATTTTCAAAACAGTGAAAAACAGAAATGAAATCTTACGGTAGTGTGTGCTAAATTACAGTAAATTATGGTATGATTGTACCATAAAAGGGATAGTGCTAAAAAGATATGTCACCCAAAAAAATCTGCATGTTGAAAGCTGTCCCACTTACTTTCTTCTCTGACAGAATTAATTTAAAAGAATAGATAACATTATTGTAACTATTAATAATGATAATACATCATTATTAATTCATAATTTAAAAGGATTCCTGACGCAACAATAATATTTTTAATAATAGATATTTATTTAAAAAAGTATAGACATCTATTGATTATTATTATTACTATTATTAATAATAGTTAATAATTAAGAAGGAAGATTGTTCACCCAAAAATAACAAATCTGTAGCTTGAAAGTTGTTATAAACCCATGTGACTTTCTTTCATCTGTAATAGAACAATACAATAGATATTTATTAAAAAATAATAGATATGATTATAACTAGTATTAATAGTAATTAATAATTAAAACCACAAAATAATAAAAAAACGTTCCAAACGTGTGCCTTTCTTTCTTTGAAAGAATAATGAATTAATAGACATATATATATAAAGAATATATATGTGTTAGTTATTATAATGATTCATAACAATAGTAGTAGTAGTAGTAATAATAATACTAATAATTTTAAACGATACTTAACTAACAAAAAAAAAATCTGTATTTTGAAAGTCATTCCAAATGTGGTTTTCTGTGACGGAATAATGAATTGATAGACATTTATATTTATTAAAAATAATTATTAATTGTAATAAATAAATACTTTACATAAATACACTTCACCCGAAAGAAATCTTGAACGTCGTTCCAACAAAATAAATAATACTTATATTTATTAAAAACAACAGATATTTATTAATTACTATAACTTTGATTAATTGCAGTTTACTAGTATTAATTAATTAGGGGAAAAGTGGCCTCAAGGTAGGCTAGCGTGTTCTGGGGGTTTGGGGCTTTCAGAGAACGCGATCAGAACGCTCGTGTGTCACGTGATGCTGACGTCAGTCGCCCTCTGATGCAGGGGGATCCATCATGGCGTCGATGCAGGTGAGATCACAGCTGACATCTAGCTCGGTTTAATCTGTCAATCACTCATTGATCAGGTGTCGAGGGTGTCGTCTCTGAGAGTGTACATGGGGATCGAATATTGTTGTGTTATTTCTGAAATCATAACTTGTCCTCCTCGCTGCTCCTGAGCTGTCAGGGTGAGAATGATCATCGGTGAGCAGGACTCATATAAACTCATACAAGCAACGCAATGAGTAGAATCGGCGTCTTATTACTAGAATGAGTTCGCTATCTGAGTGGCTTGAAATCATGCTATCAGTATGTTTACTCATTTTTATCCAGCTTTGCAAGGTTATTTGGACATTTGATAGGACATTTGAAGTTATAGATTCATTTAACTTCATTGATATATGAGTCACTGTTTTGTGTTGAATAAGAATATTAGCAATGACAAAATATAGGCAATGTTTGTTGCCACAGCTCTTAGTGGTATAAATATTCAAATGAATGTAAATATACTGTACTAAATTTCAATGCTCGGATGTATCTCATACGACTTAATGTGAATAATGTAAAATTTGAAGACTTATATAATCCTGTTATATTCTTTACATTAAGGGGTTTTCATTTTTTTTAATGCTAAGTACCCCCATATCCTTTTATCATCTGCATATTACTATATTAAGATGAAGCTCTGTGTGTGTGTGTGTGTGTGTGTGTGTGTTTATTATTTTATATTGAATTTATTATATTATTGAATTATATATTATTGGAAAATAATTTAACATTGTATCTTTTTCTTCTTCCAAATATTAGAACATTGCCATTTTATCTATCTATCTATCTATCTATCTATCTATCTATCTGTGTTAATATATATATATATATATATATATATATACACACACACACAATAAATATAAAATCTTACAGAGAGTTCTTTTTTTTTTTTTTTGTTTAACACTTTTTCTATTTCTCAACAGAAAAGGTTACAGAAGGAACTGCTAGCCTTACAGAATGATCCGCCCCCAGGAATGACCCTAAACGAGAAGAGCGTACAGAACACCATCACACAGTAAGACCGTCATTTCCCGACTCTTCGTTTAATCTCATACCCATGTGTGTGATGATCACGGTGTACTTATTAACAGGCTAGCTTTCTCAGGCCGTCCTGTATCAGGGACTGTCACGGGGAAACATTTAAAAGTGCAATGACTCATATTTATTTAATTTTTTTAAACTTATTGGTATGTGTTATTTATACTTCATTATTGTCATGTCAGGCCTGGATAACTCTTGCCCATTGTGTTTTTAAATGTTATCAATTTTAAAGCAAACCTTTCCCATTTGGTGTCATTTGTAAGGCTGCTCTGCCCGATGTATAGTTATGTCTGCTCGGAGACTAATCAAAAATGAAAGCTGTCAGCTTGAGAGGGTAGTATTGCCGTTACGAACCTTACTGACCTCTTTTTGGCCCGTGCATGTGGTCTGGAAATATCTAGCAGTCTTTTATGGGGAAAACTGTCACTGAAAAAGTGCATTATATTGTTCCAGAAAGGATTGCTGAACTGAAGTGTGTAGTTGCGTCAGAAATTGGAAGCTGTCTTCACATATGTGTTTATATCTTTCTGTGTGGCAGTAATGAGAATAAATCACTGACATAATTACTCAGTTTTATAGAGCTAAACTTTGACAGCCAAGGGTTCTAAACATAGCATTTCTTTTATGTAACTCTGGTCAGTATTGTGGGAACATAATTTAACGATGTGGGTTAGTTTTCCAGTTTTATATGGTAGCAGATTTGTAGCCTTGTCTTGGTACATATTTTGTCAAAGAGATGTCAGGCATGTGTTATGATTTTAGCAACTTGACAGACGTGTTTGTCCTGAACTAATTGGGCTTTGTGTTCATTGCTGTCCATCAAGTTTTTTTGCAGGAGGTTCTCTGATGCAGATTTGTCAAATATGCTAGATGGGAGGGCAGCGGTTGAGGTTTAACCTAAATATAAACTCTTACTCTAGAAAACCTCTTGGTGTCTTCTCTCACATGAAGTAATACACTGCAGGTCATAAGTTTGGAATATATATATATTTTTTTAAAAGTCTCATGTTCACCATGGTGAACACCTGCTTTCTTTATTTTTCTTTAATTAAATATGCAATAAATCAGTAATATTGTGAAAATATTATTTCAGTTTAAAAGAACTGCTTTTTATTTTAATTTAATTTAATTTTTTAATTTATTTCTGTTTTGACAGCTGAATTTTCAGCAGCCATTATTATTCCAGTCTTACTTACTCCGGACGTTTGAATGAATGGTAATAATATCATGGTTTCCACAAAAATATTAAGCAGCACAGCTGTTTTCAGCTTTTATAATAATAAGAAATATTTCTTATGAGCACCAAATCAGCATATTAGAATGATTTCTGAAGGATCATGTGATGCTGTTTTAGCTTTGTTAAAACCGGAATAAATTGCATTTCAAAATATATTCAAATAGAACACCGTTCTTTTGAATTATAATAATAATTCCACAATATTACTGTTTTTTTTACTGTATTTTTGATCAAAGAAATTCAGCCTGAGTAGAATAGACTGTCCGCTAGTGATAATTTATTTTTAATGCATTTATCTAATTTGACATTACAACTGTTTCAGTGTGTTCATTGTGAGATTTTTTTGAGACGCAGGTTTATGCGTTCAGTTGATCAAAAAGTGGCAGTAAATACATTTATTATATACAAAAGAGTTATATGTTAAAAAAGTAGTGTTCTTGTTAGCTTTTTATTTATCAAAGAATCGTTTCCACAAAATTATTAAAGGATCATGTAACACTGAAGACTGCTGAAAAATTGCTCAGTCGCAAGAATATATATTAAAGTAAAAAACAGTTATTATAAAATGTAATACTTCACAATATTTTTGTTTTTACTGTATTTTACGGCTTTGGTGAGCATAAGAGACTTCTTTCAAAAACATTTTTACCACCAACAAACTTTTAAATGGTAGATTATTTATTTTTGTCATTTAAAATGACTGTCGGACATTATGTATAGTAATAACTGTAGAGGTGGGGAATTAATTGATGTAGAGCATTTTAAATTGTTCATCTACAAGCAAATTCAGTTTTGTTTTAAGCCACCTTGTCGACATGATAAATTACCTTTATATATAATAGGTTGCATTTCTGTTCCCAAAAACGGAAGTTCATTAATCTAACCAAATTTGTATCGCCCTCTATGCCAGATGTTTCCTCCACTGATATCTGGCATTGTATGTTAGTAATCTCAGTGCAAAAGGCTTTGGAATCAGTGAAGGACACACACGAGCACATAGAGTGTGTGTGTGTTGAGTCAGGAAAATCACTGCACTCTTTCGTTCACTGTTCATTTTCACTCTCAGCTTATCAAGTTGCTCTCTATCAGTTTGCTGTAGCCAAAATCACAAAAAACTGACCGGATTATCCCAGAGCACTTGGGTCATGGATTTTCTTGCTGGAAAGAGCTGTCATCTGTTTGACCCCTGACATAGTGCTGCTTCCCTTGTTTAGTTCTGGATATTTAATGGCTGTCGTCTTGTCTTTTATTGTTTATTATCTTGCTACTTTCTGTCTCTCTCCTCATTTTTAATTCTTATCCAGGCCTTTTATGGCTGAACTGAAACTCTCTGCTGGCTAGCTGTTGAGTAGTTCTATTTTTTTCTCAGTGATTTATTTAGTGCATAGTTTAAAAGATCATTTAGTCAATCAAAATGTTTCATTATTAATGTCTTTCTTTTTACAGATGGATTGTGGATATGGAAGGAGCCTCTGGTACTCTTTATGAGGGGGAGAAATTTCAGCTTCTTTTTAAATTTAGTAGTCGATATCCCTTTGACTCACCTCAGGTAAGTCAAAATATTAAATATTAACTCTGTATTTCATAACCACTAAAATATTTATTTTATATTGTTTTTAGAATATTTATTGGCAATATTAATAAGCTAATAAGCACTAAATTTTTTTTGAGTGAGTGATTTAAAGGTGCCATAGAATGGAAAACTGTATTCATTCACCTTGGCATGGTTGAATAATAACAGTTTTGTACTTGGAAATGACATACCGTGAGCTTCAAACACCATTGTTTCCTCCTTATGTAAATCTCGTGCATGGAAAGACCACTGAAAATAGCCGAATCAGAACATATCACCCACTGTGACGTTACAGTCGGGATCACTAATAGTTACGCCCCCAACATTTGCATATCCCCGCCCATGTTCTATCCCAGCCGCCAGCCGAACCTGCACAGCCGAATCATCAGAAGTTCTGCAGGTATTGTGAAGAAACAAGCGAGGATAATAGCGAAAATGGCAGATCATGGAAATAAATGTTATGTTCCAGGCTGTGCAGGGGATGTGATGTGCAGGGATGGGTTGGTGTCTGTATTCAGAAAGGCACGGAAAACAAATAACGCGCGTTCTAATAAAATAACGCGAGCCACTAAAGGGACATAGTTAGCTGCTTGCTAGCGGTAGCCTGTTACATTACAGTACATAAGATTTCACTTACCACATAAACAGAGTAAGGAGAGATGACTGAGGATGATGGCGAATGATTTACAGATCCTGAGCACCACTGACAAGCATCTGATCTTGTAAAATGTGGTAAGTACTGCCGCTGTAGTTTACACTGAGCACGTGCGATCGCAAATCTCAAAAGTGAAAGTAAAAAGCATCATGCATTCTAAAGCAGTTTCAATGCCCCGTATATTAATAGCGGCTCCCTGATGGCCACATTTTATATACAGTATCAACGATATAACTGCGAGAGAAAGTATTGAAATATATATTTGACAAGCATCTGATCTTGTAAAATGTGGTAAGTACTGCCGCTGTTGTTAACACAGAGCACGTGCGATCGCAAATCTCAAAAGTGAAAGTAAAAAGCATCATGCATTCGAAAGCAGTTTCAATGCCCCGCATATTAATAGCGGCTCCCTGATGCCCGCATTTTATATAATTACTCAACTATATAACTGCGAGAGAAAGTATTGAAATATATATTTTCCCTGTATTTCCTTTATGCTGTGTGAGCTACTGAAATGAGCCGCACTGTGAAACAGCCAATCAAAGCAGAGCTCAACATTGAGCCGCACATCATGCATTCGAAAGCAGTTTCAATGCCCCACATATTAATAGCGGCTCCCTGATGGCCACATTTTATATAATTACTCAACGATATAACTGCGAGAGAAAGTATTGAAATATATATTTTCCCTGTATTTCCTTTATGCTGTGTGAGCTACTGAAATGAGCCGCACTGTGAAACAGCCAATCAGAGCAGAGCTCAACATTATTATTCATGACCCTTCCAAATAAGGTAAAAACAGACCATTTCATTCTAGGGACAAATCCTAGGGTTGTAAATGAACACGTAAAACCATTTCTGGAGATTTTTTGCCCTTACCTAAGCCACGTACCTTCTATGTAGATATCAGAGAACAATTAAAAAATTTGTATCAATGCATTCTATGGCACCTTTAATTTTTTTTGGACTCTGCTTTTTATGCTTTTTCTGCCCAGTGTTATTTTAGTATTATTTATACATTTTTACAGTGTTTAATGTGTTGAATTAGCTTTTATTGTTATATTTTCAGTTTTCGTTTTATTTGTTTAATTTTAAAATGTGCTTTTGACATTTGCATTAGTTTTTGTCATTAAAGTAGTTTAAATGTTTTATTTCTGTTAGTAATTTAGTAAACTTTGTTCTGTAAAGTTAGTAAACTTCAACTTTTAAACTCCAAGCATTTGAACATGTTTGCTTGGTTTGTTTTTCAACAATATTATAGTTTATTTTATTGCAGCTTTATTTTTATTAACAGATTTTTTAAAATATATTTTAGATTTTCGATAACAATAACACTGTCTCTTGAGATGGTTTTCCATAGATAATTGTATTATATCGCTGTACGTAGGCAGATAAACAAGTGTGATTGCTCACAGTAACATTGCTGCTCATTTGCATAAAATTAAACTTGAATTGAAAGGTGAATTGCTGGACACTCTTTAATGTTCATTTGTAGTGGCCAGATGAACTTTTAAGGGTCAACTAAAATAATAGGATCAATGCGCACAAGGGCATTTTGAGCTTGTTGACTGCAGATTTCAAAGCCACATTTGAGGGGATCAGCTCTGATCTTATTTTACATATCAGTCCCACTATAAATAGCAGAGCGGTATAGACCAAATTAGATAAACAAGCTCACACACCATTAAGGCTTTTAGGGATAAGAACAGCAGGAGTATATGGATGCAGGTATTTGAAAACCATGTTACAGCAAGTGACAGAAATGCTGTTGATGGTTTAGAGCTGATACAAAGTGTTAATGAAGCAAAAGTAAGTTTATGTATTTTAGTCTAAGGAGTTTTAAATGTGATAAAACAGGGCAGCACTTAAGATTAATGGTGACTGATAAATAACCTTTTTTGTTGGTGAAGTGGCCCTAGCAGAGTTTGTGAGCATTAAGGGCATTTAATCGGAGGTGAAACGCTAGCTATTTTTTTCCCCTCTGACCGTGTGCTTTTCCTCATGTAAGTCCGGATCTGGCGCCAGCTTCTCATTCAGCCTGCTGTCTCTGTCTCTACCTCCTAATCTAGCGGTCTCATGCCAATTGTGAGGACTAAGCACTGGCTTATGATTTAAAGGGATAGTTCACCCCAAAATTAAAGTTCTGTCTTCATTTATTCACCCTCATGTTGTTCCAAGTCCACATGACTTTCTTTGTTCTGTGGAACACAAAAGGAGATGTTTTGAAGAATGTCCGCACTGCTCTTTTCCACAATGAAAGTAAATAAATAAAATATTGTGACTGTTATAACACATTTCTGATTATTAATTATTATTTGCAATTCTGAGAAAGGAAAAAAAAAACAGATGAGACAGCTGAAAACAAATGTTTATGTTGTGCTAAATTAATACTTTTATTTAGCAACGATACATATAAAAGTGACAGTGAAGACATTTTTAATATTACAGTAAGATTTCTATCCATTGATAATGAACATTGAAGACTGGAGTAATGGCTGCTGAAAATTCAGCTTTGCCATCACAGGAATAAATTGCATTTAAAAATATATTAAAATAGAAAACAGTTACTTTAGAATTCAAAGAATATATCACAATATTTTTGTGATAAATGCCAAAAAACAAACAAACTTCCGCCCCCAAACCTTGGAATGATAGTTAATAGATGCTCACTGGCCACTTTATTAGGTACACTTGTTCTACGCACGTTAATGCAAATATCTAATCAGCCAGGCACATGGCAACAACTTTCTGCATTTAGGCATGTAAACATGGTCAAGACATCTCTAGGGTTTTCATGGTCTGAAAAAGAGAAAATATCCAGTGAGCGGCAGATCTATGGGCGAAAAATGCCTTGTAGATGCCAGAGGTCAGAGGAGAATGGCCAGGCTGGTTCACACAACACATCGAACCTTGAAGCAGATGGGTTACAGTAACAGAAGACCATAGAAGATTGGGAAAAAGGTGCCTTGTCTGATGAGTCCCAATTTCTGCTGCAACATTTAGATGGGCCGGTCAGAATTTGGCATAAACAACATGAAAGCATGGATCCATCCAGCATTATACCCACGGTTCAGGCTGGTGGTGTAATGGTGTGGTGGATAATTTCTTGTCACATTTTGGGCCACTTAGTACCAATTGAGCATTGTTTAAATCCCACAGCCTACCTGAGTATTGTTGGCGACCATGTCTGTCCCGCTCCTTGTCATAAAGCTCAAATCATCTCAGACTGGTTTCTTGAACATGACAATGTGCCACTCTAAAATGTGCAGTGTTACGGGGGGGGTATCTGGTGTGACCACCATTTGCCTCACGCAGTGCAACACATCTCCTTCGCATAGAGTTGATCATGAGTTCACTATACTCAAATGGCCTCCACAGTCACCAGACCTCAATCCAATAGAGAGCGCATTTAGGATGTGGTGAAATGGGACATTCGCATCATGGATATGCAGCCGACAAATCTGCAGCAACTATGTGATATCTTTGAGGTTTTTTTTTTTGTATGTAAAAATTATGTAAGTTGTGCCTGTTAATTTAAAGAATAAAAATACAGGTTTTGAGTGAGTCCTCTCATTTATCCACAGTTATCCATTTTATTAAGTAATGCAATAAGGACAGGTTAAGTAATAATCATATTTGTATTTATTTACAAAGTAATATTTTAGAATGCTTAATATGATGTACTATTATTAGCATTGATGATGATGATATATATATATTTGAGATAGTGAATTGGTGGGTTTTTGTTAAAATCATCACAATTAAAAGACTACTTTAAACTACTTCAGTCTTTATGCATTGAATTTATTTAATACACGAGTTTCACAATTTGAGTTGAATTACTGAAATAAATGAACTTTTCCACGACATTCTAATTTATTGAGATGCACCTGTGTGTGTGTGTGTGTGTGTATATATATATATATATATATACACACTGTATATTTCTAGTTCTATTTTGAGTTAAAAATGCTACAAATTTGTCTGTTTTAAAAATAGTGTGCTTGGCTTATCTGGTTTGAAATATAATATAATTATTACTTAATGTATCGTGTGTGTGTGTGTGTGTATATATATATATATATATATACAAACACACTATACAATAATTATATTTCTAGTTATTTCTAAAGCAATATTTTAGAATCCTTAAGATACTGTATATATATATATATATATATTATATGCAGATATATTATATGCATTATAGATTGTATGTATTTAATATTCACTGTAGGTAATATACATTTATTAACAGTGTGCATGTGTGTGTATATATAGGCTATATATTAAAGGCTTAATATTCTGTAGCCTATTATTAATAAGAAAAAATTATATATATTATGCATGTCATGTAG